CTTTCCCTCTTGTTGTCTAGAGGGAAACCTCCTATTTTCTGTTTAGATCCCTTTTGACCCCAGGATGAAAACGCAGCTTTTGGGGAATGGGTACCCCACCCTCCCAGTTCAGTTAGGATTCCCTATGCCCGCTCAGCCCAGCTATTTGTATGAGCTTTGGGGAAAATAATTAGAGACTAGAAAAAGAAGCAGGTAGAGAATCCAGGCTGGATTCTAGTTATGTCCCACATCTCCCTTTGCACATGCCCAAGGCTTCCTGAAACACACCTGTGTACTGGAAGCTGCTGGGCAGGCGCATGTGTTAAGATGCAGTCCGCACTACCAGCTGAAGGAAATGGAGGTCAGGAGCCCTGCAATGCGAGGCAGCCCCAGAACCAAAGCCACTTCCCTCAATGAGTCTAGAACAGACCCGTGTAACATGCCCCATCCCGACTGCCTCATTTCACAGCCTTCCCTATAGCTTCAACATTGTACAAGTCCAAACAAAACCTAAAGTTTTTCTGTTTTTTACTAAATATTCCTTTCATAGAAACCAGCCCAAAACTCATCACAGTCCAATTGTGTGAGAACAGGCACCAGGACTAGAAGTTTATACATCTCCCCCATTTTAGTAGGAATATTAATGAACTCTGCTTGGCAGTGCCCTCCAGTGTCCAGGAGATGGTCCTCTCTGTCTCACAGGCTCCAAGTCCTGATGATAGGCAGGGCTCTGAGCAGTTAGGATGGCTTCCCACTTGCTTCTATCCAGTGAAGCCTTGAGAAAGAAAGCGAACTGAAACAGCCCCCTTTCCCCTTGGGTTATGTTGAGGGTTTTCTGAGGCCCTGGGGCCGACCCTGTCATCGCCCCATGATGAAGCTGGGCTCCTCCTCCTCCTCCTCCTCCGTTCCGGATGTCTCCTCAGAGCTACTGGATGGCTGCTCCTGGGACTGACTGGATCCTGTAAGCACACACCATTCAGATTAGAGATGAATGAGTTCACTCAGAGAATCAACGGGTGCTTTAGAAAAGGTGGAACACTGAGGAAACGTTAGAAACTGGTTGTTCCTGGATGGATAGTGAGGAGCCAGAGGAGGTCCTCACATGCATTGGTCCCCAATGCCACTCCTCAGGTATAAAGGATATGTCACAGAACTGATCTACCATTGTGGTGGGTGGATCTCATCCTTATGAAAAGGTCCAGCAGCACGCACGAGAGCCTGACACCCCATAAATCAAGCCACTGTTTTAATATGGTCTTCACCACCACCCTAGCAGGGCAACGTCCCCAGGCAGCTTTTTAACATTTGACACTGACAACAATGCTGCTGATGTATTGAGCTCTCACACCGCAGTCTGCAAAAGGATTTTTAAAAACTGTGCAGCAGAGAGCTCTGCCTACAACAAATATGCCAACTTCCTAGCTCTTCCCACAGACCTAGAAACCTTCTCCCGTCACTCCACATGCAGCTCTGAATTCCAGTGTTTTCCCTGGCATTACTGCCCAGAACCCAAGGTGCCTCTGAGTTGGTCAAAAGCAGAGCAGAGAGACAACTTGTTCCCAACTTTCCTCTTCCCTCTTCTTGGGAGTAGGGCAGTGAGTGAGAGCTAGAATGAGGTAGAGCCAGAGCCCACAGAGGCAGCACCAGTCCTCCAGCTCACAGTCGACCCCAGAAGGCCACTTGCAGGCCAAGTGGGCTCACCCGGGCCCTTCAAAGGGCCTCCTCCCCACAGATGTGCAGGAACTCCAGCACCCCCAGAGCCCAAAGGCACCCAGAGTGTTGCTCCTGCTGTCATCGCAGGGTCAGACAAATAGCTTCAAGGCAGGAGGCCTTGGGGTGCTCAAGGCACAGTATAGAGAAAAATCGCCTTCACGCTCTAGAATGGGACACTAAAGAACACTATGCCAATGGGTTGAAATCACCTCTAAGACTTAATTTAATAAATTTAGGATATTCTTCCTTCTTCTCAACCTCATGCCAAAAAGAATGAGAAGTTTCAAAAGTACAGATGGTGAGCATATTTTAATAGCTAATAATTGTTACACTTAGTATGTGCCAGGCACTGTTCTAAGTCTTTACTGTATTGTTTAACTCTAACTTAGTCTATAAGTACTACTACCACATATCCATTTTACAGATGAGGAATAAAGCTCAGAGAGGTTAAGTAATTTGCTGGTAAGACGAGGACTGAGGATTCAAACCCAGACTATTTGACACTTTATGCCTCTGCATTAAGTTTGACACATACAAAATAAATCTACAATATCTTATAGTAAGGAAGTGCTAAAAACAAACTAATAAACTAATATAAAAAACCCAAATAAACAACCCCCCCAAACAACACAACACACACACACACCCCACAATGATGGGAGTATGCAAAAGGGATACAGGAGCCAAAGAAAGCATTCTCAATGACCAAGCTGGAACAATTTGAGCAACAAAATAAAGTAGGACTGGATTAAACCTAAAGTATAAATATCCGTAAGTCCATACTCATATAAAAAAATAAAGAGGGGAGAAAAAATAAATCTCTTGTGCAGAAGAATTTAAAATAATTTATGTAGTTACTCCACCCTCATGGAGGGCCTGCATAACTCCCTACTCCTTAAATGTGGCTGCACATAGTGACTTCTTTCCAAAGAGTACAAGTATGAGCTGGGGCAGAGGGGGCAGGGGCATGAGAGAGTAAATTTACAGTACAGAATCCTGATGAGCACAGTCTTAGGAAAGTGATCAAGGTCAACAACTACAGTGACAAGTTATCTTGAAGTATACAGCCTTGATTTGATAAGAATGGTATTTTATTTCTGTAATCTTCCTCTCAAAAATAAATAACTCCAGCCTAATCATGAGAAAAACATCTGATAAATCTCAGTTGGACATTCTATAGAACACCCTACCCTCAAAACTCTCAAGGTCATCAAAAACAAGCAAAGTCTGAAAACTGTCACAGATAACAAGAGTGTAAGGGGACATGATGATTAAACGTAATGTGATATCCTGTATGGGATTCTGGAACAAGACAAAAGCATTAGGTAAAGACTAAAGAACTGTGAAAAAAAGTATGGACTTTAGCTAATACATGTATCAATATTAGTTTATTATTGTGACAAATGAACCATATTAACTTTAGATGTTAATAGGGGAAAGAGGGTATATGGAATTCTTTGTTCTATACCATCTTTGCAATTTTTCTGTAAATCTAAAATCATTCTAAAAATTTTTATTAAAAAAAAGACACTGTCCTACCCTCATGGAACTAAGATGGAACTGAGATTACAGCTGAAGAGATAAGCATGTTATGAGATTTAGCAGATTCTGTAACCAAACCCTCTGGGAGCAAGGTGGATGAAAAAGCTCGATCAGCTAGGCTGGGGTGGGGAGGGAGGTTAGGAAAGGCTTTACAAAGAGAAAACATTCGAAGAGGAAGGTACAAGATGAGCAGATGTTCTCTATCAGATGGGGGTTCAGGTAGCATGAAAAAGAAAAGAGCACAGAGGCCTGGACATGCACAGCAAGACTGAAGAGCAGAGGACCTATGACAGGGAGTGGCTAGACCAAACTGGCAGAGAGGAGACCAGAAAGGGCCAGACAGGGAGCACCAGGTATGCAGGGGCTGCTGACTAGGTTTTAAGCAGAATCATCCCGTACGTAAGCCCATAGCCAGTGGTGAGCAAATCCCGCCCCATTACTCACTCCCTTTACCTCTGTGGGTGCTGTCACTGCTTGGTACCTAAGGTCCCTCAATTGTAAAATGGGGATAACACAGCTGCCTTTCACAGGGCTGTGATTATGTTACTTAATATCTGTAAAACATGTAGAACTGGGGGAACGTACATAATAAATGTACGTTCCAATCCAGCCTATGTTTTAAAAAGAGCTTTGGAGGCTATACATGGGTGGTGGGAATGCAAAGAGAGTAGAAGCTGCTACTGCGGTCCTGCCATATCTGGATCTATATTTTTGTAAGGTTTTTACTAAAGCCTTAGTTTTTACTAAGACCTTAACTTCCTCTGAAGTCATATTCTTATCCATGTGGAGAAATAAGTTTTAGAAGTCAGTTCTGGCGAGGATATGGTAAAAGTGTACATCATTTGTATTTTATTGATGGCAGTAAAAATTGGTACTACTTCTTTGGAAAGAAACTGGCAATAGATTTCAAGAACCATGAAATTTTTTTATACTCTGTGATCTAATCATTCCCACTGCTATAAATTTATCTTAAGTAAACACTCAGAAAGAAGAAAGGGGACAGGTGTATAATATTCACTGAAGTGTCTTCTAAAGGAGACAAAAACTGGAACCAATCTAATATATAATGAAAAGGAAAGGGTTAAGTATATCAGAGCACATCAACTGCTGAATATTATTAGTCACTGGAAAAATTATAAAGGACTGGAAATGTTTATAATGTTAAATAAACAAAATTGAAAACTTTTCATACAGTAAGATTATAACTACATACAAATGACATGTGCATATGGAGAAAGACTAAAGGAAAATGGATAGAAAGGTGATCTATTTGAATATTTGAGTTTTCCCCACTGCTCTTATATACTACTGTTTATATATATAACATTTTAAAATCCAAGGATCTGAGATTTCATTCACAGATTATAGGAATACTAGGTAAAATGCCATTGAGTGAAGTTGAAAATGATATTAACTTTTATAACCAGATGAATGACCAGACTAGGAAATCTCTCCTTGTATTATGGAATTGCAAGGGCATGAGAAAATATTTGTGATACAATACTATGTGATAAAATTAGGACAACTATAAATGTGGCATTTATATAAATAGGTTTATATAAGGTATATTTAAAACTTGAAATAAGTCATTAAAATGTTAAAGTGATTATTTTTAGCAAAGATTATAATTTTATTTTTGACTTTATTTTCTGCATGTTCCAAAAATTTCTAAAATAATCATTATTTCCTTTATTCTCAAGATACGAAGGATATGGATAGTTTTCTAACATATATGAGAATTTTGGCATTGAAACAAACAGTCCAATCCAAAACATACTGAGTGCCTTCTGAACACCAGATAATCAGTTGAGATTAAGTTTTAATTGGGGGCAATTCTGTCTCCCTTCTCCACTAGGGAACATCTGGCGATATCTGAAGACATTTTTGTGTGTCAGTGACTTAGGGGAGGACGGGTGCTGCTGGTATCCAGCATCCAGAGGGCAGGATGCTGGTAAACAGGATATAGCCCCTCACAGGAAAGAATTACTTGGCCCAAAATTTAGTAGTGCTGAGGTTGAGAAACTGCTCTCAATGTACCTAGTAACAAATCGTCTTAAGGTCACCCTGTCTTTCTTTGGTAGGCAAGCCTACGTTAGGATAAGTAACAATGGTGTCAGAATACATCATTTTGGAAGTTCAAGGCATCATAATAATCCAAACTGGCTTAATGCCATTCCATGGTGTCATTCAGACACAAGTCCCACATTGCATGGCTTCTTCACTGAATACTGGACAAGCATGGGCAGCAAGCGGGGATATTTCCTCTCCTACAAACAGAATGGAACTCCTAGCCAGCTGCTCCTTAGTGCTTTTTATTTTTTTTACTATTTTATTTTATTTTTTTATTAGTTTCAGTACAAGTATACAGTACATTGGTTAGACATTTATATAGTTTATATCCTTAGTGCTTTTTAGAAGGGCCAAAAAGCTTGGGTGATATCTCCAAGTCCATCAAGAACCCAGCAGTGCACAGAAGCCACCTTGAGGCACAAAGGAATATCACATTAGATTTTCATTCGTTTCAAGTAGACAACTAGAAAATCTATTTTCTTTCACAAAATGAAAAATAAGAAAGGAAACTGAGGTGAGGTAAAAGGCACACAAACCATTTTTATGACAATTATCCCTATATCATTCTTTACTTTGCTCATTCGGTAAGGAGGATATACAACCATGTATAATTACTAATCATTTTTTAATACAC